ACAAGTATGGCGCAAACATCGCAAGTACAACATGATATGGGTCCTAGACTACCTGGACATAAGCATAATAGTAGCTACGCATAGATTCTCGTCACCTCGTGCGTACGTAGCCCCCACAAATAGAAGCACATAATAATTTGATTCACCTATGGGGTTAATTCCCTCTTACAAGATCAGAAAGGAGATATACCTCACTCCGAAATTCCATAACTGACTCCAAAGTCCTTCCAACAACTCAAACCAATCCCCATCACTCCCAAGCTAGTCAATAAGGGTGCAAATCCATAAATATATACTCTAATACTCATTATAATTCAATTTGCAATAATTTTCAACTCCGCTCGAAAAGTTGATAAAAATCACCATCGAGCCCACGTGCCCGGATTTCAAAAATTTTCGAAGATAAACATTACCCATAACCCCCACGAACTCAAATATATAATTCATTCCAAATTCCATATCTAATTTCGTGGTCAAAATCCAAAAATACCAATTTGTATATTTTTCTTCAAAATCTCAAATTCCTATAATTTTTCATGCTTGAATCCATATAAAAATCATATGTTTAACTCACAAAATGAAGAAATCACTTACCCTATAATAGCTGATGAAGATGGCACTCCAAAATCACCCACAAGGCTGGCTCTAAGGAGAGAAAAGAGGTGAAATGAGCCAAAATCCGATTTGGCTAACTTATGTATTCTGCCCAGGCGACCTCCGCACCTGCGCTCACTGGAAATGTTCTGCTTCTGTGTATGTCCCCTAGCTGCCTAGCCCACTTCTGCGCTAAACTCCCCGCAGGTATGCATCCGCTTATGCGGCAAATCGTCCGTACCTGCGAACACAGTCCCCCACTCCCTTTTCGTTTCTGCGACCTCCTGGCCGCTTTTGCGGCTCCGCACGTGCGACCAAAACCCCGCAGGTACGGTTACACCAGATGATAGCAGCTCCAGCATTCCTCCAAGCCCAAACTCGATCTGTTTACCATCCGGAATCCACCCGAGACCCTCGGGACATCAACCAATTATACCAGCAAGTCCTAAATGTCATACGAACTTAGTCGAGCCTTTAAATCACATCAAATAACGCTAAAAATACGAATCTCCCTCCAATTCAAACTTAATGAATTTTGAAACTTCAACTTCTACAATCGATACCGAAACCTATCAAATTACGTCCGATTGACCTCAAATTTTGCACACAAGTCACATTTTACATTACGGACCTACTCCAACTTTCAAAATCGGAATCCGACCCCGATATCAAAAAGTCCACTCCCGGTCAAACTTCTCAAAAACCTTCAAATTTTTAACTTTCGCCAAATGACCCCGAAATGACCTACGGACCTCCAAGTCCACATCCGTACGTGCTCCCAATACCAGAATCACAATATGGAGATATTTCCATTCTCGAAATTTCAAACGGACATCAATAACATTAAAATGCACTTCAGCCCAAATTTATGAAATTCTTCTAAATGCCAACCTTCCGTAATAAGCGCCGAAATACTTTCGGGTCATCCAAAATCCGATCCGGATATACGCCCAAGTTCAAAATCATCATACAAACCTGTTGGAACCTTCAAATCCAGATTCCGATGACGTTTACTCCAAATCAACCCTTAGTCAATTCCTCCAACTTAAAGCTTCTGAATTTAGAATTTTCTCTCCAAATCAACTCCGAACTCCCCGAAATTTAATTCCGACCACACGAACAAGTCATAATACATGAAGTGAAGCTGCTCACGGCCTCAAACCGCCGAATAACGCTCTCAAAACGACCAGTTGGGTCGTTACATTCTCTCCCATTTAAACATATGTTCGTCCTCAAACGTGCTAAGAACTGCTCTGGAATTGTCCGAAATCATTGGTCAACACCTCGTGCACCTACCCGTGCTACCACAACCCAGTTGAGCACATTAGCTCGAGCCAGTCTAAAGATCTTCCATTTTATTTAGTTAAGTAAGCCTTAAGTCAAATTCCAACATCCAGAATTCTCTACCAGGCCTATTTCCAACATACAAACACCGTATCAATCACTACACGATGCACCAATACATGATTGCATATCTTTGTTGAATTCACCATGTACCGCATAATTCACATGACCATAATAACATCCTCTGTCACCAATAGCACCACAATTCAACGAATATGATGCCCACAACACACTTCATGATACATATAAGTCCTGTTCCAACTCTTGCAATACTGCAACGACGGAAGAGATGTGTAGAAATTCATAACCAACTGCCGAGTCGACAAAATATTGAGTCTCTCCTCCTGACAAGAACCATTACCTCATTATGAACCAAATAATGATAATGTACTTTAATATGCCTCATATAAATCCGTTCGCACTGATCCTAGGTCCAAAAATCTCATCTCACCCATTACAAGCTGCTCAGGCAATAAGCCACCTCAGACACTGCCAAAAATCTCATATGATGCCATAAGGTGCCAACAAGCTACAAATTCGAATGTGATACATAAGGAAAAATGAACTCCGGAAAGAACTACTCAACCCACGTAACTAATTAAATAACCAAAAGGATGTTATGAACTTTCTCGGAAACGAGAAACAAAACACACAAGAATAGATATGGGGAACTGTACTCAACATCATACTGCTGCGGCATGCAACCCGATCCACACATGATACTGTTGAGGCATTCAACCCGATCCAACCATGATAACCGTGGCGGCGTGCCACCTGATCCAAACAACGTACCCGTGGCGGCGTGCCACCCGATCTAACCATATACCCGTGGCGGCCTGCCACCCGATCCACATATAACAATAAATAGGAAAGTACCCATCAAGCCAAAACGCTTATACCTACGAAATACCCGAATGTCAACCACAAGCACGCCAAGTGCACAATACCATCCTTGAGGAGACAGATAGCGCTATATGCTACAAAACTCGAGCACGACTAAGGTGCAATAAATGGCCTGCATCTCGAGAGCCATCCTGCTCATATAACACCACAAACTATACGGGATCTCAATACGAGTGCGAATAATCAAACCGTCTCATAACCCACATGGCAAAATAGAGACTACACGGAAGGGCTGACAACAAAAATAACATCCAGGGCCCGAAGGCCCCTCCGAAAATATTAAACTTCTAACTTCTACATCCGATGCCGAAACCTATCAAAACAAGTCCGATTGACCTCAAATTTTGTACATAAGTCACAATTGACATTACGGACCTACTCCAACATTCGAAATCGAAATTCGACCCCGATATCAAAAAGTTCACTCCCGGTCAAACTTTTCGAAAATCATCCAATTTTTCAATTTTTGCCAATTAACGGCGAAATAACCTACGGACCTCCAAATCGACATCCGGACACGTTCTTAAGACCAAAATTACCATACGGAGCTATTGAAACCGTCGAACCTCCATTCCGGAGTCGTCTTCATACAAATCAAACTACTATCAATTCCTACGACTTAAATTTCTATTTTAGGGACTATGTGTCCCATTTCTCTCCGAAACCAAAAACCAAGACTCCCGACAAGTTACGTAACCACAAAATGAAATGGAGGAAGCAATAAATAGGGTTTCAGAGCTAATTCTCTCAAAACAATCGGCCGTGCCGTTACAAAATATTAGAAAATATTTTTCGGAAAAATATTTTTACTCACCAACCAAATAAGGGAAAATAAGTGATAATACCAACCATTTTTCGTGGAAAACATTTTCCTTCGTACCACCTGAATTCATGCAATTTTCTTGTTGAAGTTGAACGAAATTTCTTCGTCTTCAAAAAAAATTGAATTTTTTTCTTTCTCTCCCATATAATTATTTTCACATACGTTCGTGAGACGATGAATATATCTTTGAAAGAACTTTAATGGGAAGTGGAAAGATAATTAACCAATGTTCTTAGAACAACCTTACAAATTTATATCAACACGTTTTAACCCTCATACTTACAAAACAGAATTTTAAAAAAAGATAAATTTATAGTTCCACAATAACAATTCAGCTAAGCTATTCCTTTACCTAACCACTCTGCTCCTAGGAAAAGACAAAGCTGTTTCGTTTTTTTGGTGCCATCAAATTAAGATCTCGGGATGACCCTACAAATGGAAAATTTGGCTTTAATTAGAGACTTTGTATTACTTGTTGTTGTATAACTAGTATCTTACATTTGGACTATTGGGGTTCGCCACCTCCACCTTAAATTCCATAATCCATGTTTTAGTAAACAAATACTAATTGGACGGCTATCAATGCAATAGGTCTTAGTAGTTTTTTCAACATCTATTAAACTGCGAATTAGATTAGTCGGATATCTTAAAACGGATACCAAATATCAATAGGAAATCTTTAAAAACAAAATTTAAAAAAAATAAGCCGACGGAAGTCAACCAATTAATTAAAATTAAATCATTAAAATGATCACCAAGGTTTGCATGTGGATTATTCCTCCATTCTATACACTTTTCATTCTTAATTATCGTGATCACGTTTTAAGGGTATGATATTTTAAATTAAGAAGCATTGTACTTATCCTGTTATAATTTTAAATTTTACCCATCAAATCTGCTAAAAGTTTTTATGAAAGGAGCAAGCTAAAGATTTGCGAGGCTAATTAAGTGTTGTTGAATCCACTAGATAAAAGTGTAGAATTAGTAGATAGCTATAGCCTATAAGTGGACCAGCCAAAAAAAAAAACAAGAAATCCAATTGCTAACTTTTATAATAAAAAAATGTTCAAAAGCGCAAAAAAGCAAAAAAATAAATTGACCAGAGTGAGATGGGATTATGTATAGAATCCCTTCGTGCCAATTTGGATTAGTAAACAGTAAATTTTAAATACGAAACGATTAAAATAAAATACGGAGGTAGAAAAGAACAATCTTTCTATCCACTGTGTATGACTTCAACTAATTTATACCCAATAAAAATGAAGTATACTGCTATTCTCAGACCAACATTTTCATCAAACTGTATGCTTTACACAGCTCTAGACGTTGAAAATCCTTAGCTTGAATTATGATAAAAATCAATGCAAGAATCCTCCTCTGGACATATTTCCTCTGGAGACCCTAGAGAGTCCACCACATCTTCCGTGCTCCACCCCGCACGTAATAACCTCTTTGACAATAACCTCACGTGCGATTCCACCCCTTTCTTGTCGACAAATACGCCGGCGTCACTGCGTCTCCTCCGGCCACCGGAACCGCCGTCTCCGCCGCCGTCCACCATCATCATCTCTCTAACATCCTTTTCTTTCCACCCCGCTTCGGTCAACCTCAAAAACACATCCTCTAAATACCCTTCAAGATCCTCACTCCACCACCGCCGGTGCTTTCCACCGCCACGCGCCGCCGCCATCTCCGTCATATCCGTCCAGAACTCAATCTTCCTCGCCTCCGTCGCCGCCCATGCCGGTGCATTCAGCAAATTAAACAAACTTGGTCTCCTCAAAAGCATCCCATTGCTCTGAAACTCTACTTGCTGAAAAAACCCGGATATATCAAAACTCCATAATTTAACCTCCCCATCATGCACGTAAAACACAGGATTCCCAGCCAAACACGGCGTACACGGTATATAAAAATGCTGATAAATGGGAACAAGAACAGGGGCAGCTTTTTTCAAGAACTCCTTTGCTATATCCACAGCTTGATCATTATCAAATGGCCTATCACCCCAAGAATCAATCCAAAAGTTCCTTTTCTTTACTTCTTTACACAAACTCAAGATCGGGAGATTTTTCAGGATTTCTAGTTGTTGTTGTGACGAGGATCGCCAGTTGGGAAATCCAGAGCCAGTGGGGAGACCTTCTTGAAGGATGGAACGGAGATCAGGAGGGAAACTGAAGTTGAAAGTGGACTCAATGGAGGAGAATTCTACGTCGGAAAGTCCTTTTTCGACGATTATGTTGGAAGATTTGAGGTGTTGTACGACATTTTTGGCGTAAGCTGCGTATGAAAAGCAAACTCGTGCTGGTTTAATTGGGTTGCAGATTGTAGTTGAGATGGGGCTTAAGGTTTCTGCAACTGCTGCTGTCATTGCTTATGGGAAAAACAGATCATGAACTAATGGAAGTGTTCTTAGGCTGTGATATTATAAAGGGTTTGATCCGACGAAAATGAAAGAGAAAGTGAGAGATAAAGGGGGGAAGAAGTTATTAGAGTAAATAGTGGAGAATCAAACTTACCTGTACTTAGGGTCGTTTGGTTTGTCATATTAATAGAAATAATACCAACATAATATTATGTACAATATTTGATTTTGTTGTATAACAAAAAATAATCGTCACGTAATTTAACGTATATTTGCTTGGCCTTATTAAACTTTGTATTAGTAATAATCGCATAAGTTAATTAATCATAATTTTATGTGGCATAAAATATAAAATAAAAATAATTGTATTAGCAATGTATGGATAAGTGTAACCAATGGAATAAATAAAACCTTTAAAATAATCTATCTCTAACATAATAATCCATACGTTCCAATTTATGTAAACCTATTTGACTGGGCACGAAGTTTAAGAAAAAAATGAAGACTTTTGGAATTTGTGGTCCTAAACAAGTAAGAATATTTGTTTGGCTATAATTATTTTGAAACTTGTGGTGGTAAATATGCCAGAGTTTTTGTGTGATTATAAAAGCTTGTCATTAAAGTTAGAATTGAAAGTTTAAGCTAAATTAGTTTCAAATTTAGAAAGGAGTCTTTCTTTTTGGAACAGACCAAAAAAAAATTTAGTTCACATAAACCGGAACGGATGAGTAATAGTTACATATATTATTTCCCGCATAAATTATCATTATATATACAATTATTGCATAACTTCTTTGAGAACAAAATGGCGAATGCCCCACCTAAAGGCGTAAAGTTTTAGGATAAAAAAATGGTGTATACATAGCAAGTAATATTTTTAAATTTTTACCAATTAACCTGGTTAAGCGATACAAATTTTATTTTGATTAATGACTCTTATCAGAATTCATTTGATTCAATACAAATATCAGATAGTATTAATTTCTCGGATGATGAGGAGGGGAGAAGAAGTCGTTGATGAGTCATGAGGAAATATCGGGCGTTTGATTTTGACCGAAGGATATAGAGACGAAGAGAAAATTGGCCCGTGACAATTTGTTGTTACGCGAAATTTTGTTCATTAACACTGAATAAGTTGCTCTATAAGAAGTTTGGGAAATCGGATCCTGAAATCTGGATGGATTACGGGAATCGGTCGAAAATTTTGGTCTCATTCTCATGCAATCTTATCATCAACCTACAACTTCATAATTTTCACTTTTTTCGAAAGAAAATGATTAAATTTTAAAAATTCATCCGTATAAGAAATATTTATATTACTACTAATAATTTCTTCATTTTTTAAATTTGAACCGAACATATTAGTTAAAGAAAAAAGAATCTTATTTATATTTAATATTACCACAATTTTGCTGGTGTCAAAATTTTCACTTGTCATGATATCATGTCATTTTCTATCTTTTTGTTGTTTTCAATATTTTCCAACACCAAAGAACTTGAAGACGGCAATAACCCAACCACTCCCACAAAAAAAAAGAAAAAAAAGAGAGAAAGAAGTTAGAGATTTTAGAAGGAAGCTAAAGAGAAACAAGTTTAAATGTTTTTGTTTGTATAGATAATTTTCTCATGAAGAAACTAAAGTATTAGTTCCAAGTATAATATTAGTGGCCCCAATCAATCTTAAGATATATAAAAGCAATTTTCTTTCGATTTCTCAAGTCCAGGATAGATTATGCTCCGATATTATTTTACCAATATGCTGAATTTGGACAATTTTGAGATCTAGCAAATATCTATTTATTTAGTAAGTCAATTAGAAGCAGAGTTGGATGGAATCTAGCCAATGTACAAGTAAAATGCTCAAATTGAGATGAAACAAAAGGCAATGGATGCTTACTATCTTAATTAAATTTGTTTATTGATTTTATCCTAAAGTTAGTATGCAAATGCAACAAAATATATTTACTTGTACTAGCTGGTGTTTGCACCAAATTGTAAATTTATTATGATTAACTGATAAAATAAGATGAAAATATATACTCCTAAGTCCTAATTAACTATATTAAGTAAAAAACTTATCTAAAATTACATATTATTCATTTATTAATTAGTTTAATATAAACACCAAATAAGATTGTATGAAAAAATTTCTTTTCCGAATAAAATCATATCAGCTCGTCATCATTTTGTTTTTTGCCCCACTAATCCTTTGAGGACCGCAATTTTCTCACGATGTCACACATACCTCAACGTCGCTCAATTTCAAAGAAGGCTAGAGGAAATTGATTGATTGTTTAAATAATATTGTTCCTCAAAAAAAGAAAATAAAAATTTCCCGAAACTAGCAAAATGTTGTCTTTGGTTTGTCAAGAACTAAAACCAAGCCAAACTTAATTTCCATAATATCCCATAAACTTAATATTACCACTTGATCATCCCAATATTATGTTAAGTTTTTATATAATTTCTTTCATCTTAGATCACATTAGTTTTTCAAGATCTAAACTTATTATTTTCAAGATATTATTACAGTACAAATATATGCGTTCAGGAGCGGATCTACAGTAATAGGTGTGGGTTCCCGAGAATCCAGTAGCTTTTGGTCAGTTCCTATATTTGTATTACGAAAGCTGTTGAAAGTATAATAATATTGAACTGGAAACCTAGTTCCAAAATTTGTTGTTGGTTCTGTGGTAAGATGGGGAACCCAAGTGATGCTCACTCCTGTTGCAGACTGATGAGCTCCAATCTCTCTAGGGACATTTCAGTTTTTCCTTTGTTTTTTCCGTTTTTTCACAAAGTCATACAAACATCTCGGCCCTGCATATACACTTTCTTCTGTTTCTTTTATTCTTTTTTTTTTTTAAGAAACAAAACGTAACGAATGACTAAATCAAACTAAAAAGGGAACCAAACATTGGTACTTATGTCGTATTTAAGTGGTTCGCTACTCTTTTAAATATATATGTTGATCGTCGGTACTCGTTCTATAATTGGATTGTTAAAATATATTAATTTGAGGTGACGGTAGAAACCCATAAATTTTAAATGCTGGATCCGACTCAGTATGCGTTATCATTAATGCATGTTTATTCTAGAGATATTGTTATAGTTTTTACAAAATGAATGGTGGAATTACTATTGCATGACTCCATTGATAGAAATGCAACGCAAAGAGTTACATTTGTAGCTTTCATTATTTTGCTTTTGAAAAGAAAATTCAAATTCAAATGTACTTGTTTATTAAAATTTTCTTCAAAAACAATAGAATCACCTAATAATACAAATTGGTTTTCAGAGTTGCCCAAACGCGTTACGAATATTCCTTTCTAACAAACATAGAGCGTGCATTAACATGGTTTATTTTAGTATTTAATTAATTGCACGAATTGAACTTCTTAGCCTGCATCCATTGTTTGTTTTTGTTTCTTCAGTACCAAAAACCATGCACGCTAATGCCACGAACAACGACACTGCACCGCTGCCAGCTTATATAAGTGTGTCAATCTACTAGTCTAAGAATAAGTGATTAACAGGGAATTCATATTAATTCTAAATTACTTCATGTGGAATTATAAGTACGAAAATAATTGAGATTAGGATTCAGGCTTTTATCCTTCTTAGCAAAAGAAAAATGGACTTGACGGAATTCATAGGCAGAGTCGGATCCATGATTTGAAGTTTATTGGTTCGGGATTCTAGTCCTTTAAGTTATCAAATTTTAAATTAATAATTTATATTTATTCAATGAATTACTTAAGCAAATATATAATTTAAACCAAAATTATTAGATTCGATCGAACTAACTTTGATTTGAACCCATAAACTACACTCTAGCTCCACCCTTCATAGGTGCCGCTTTGTCACCGAGTGGATGTGATGTTTCAGTTAAGTAATTATCTGTGTGAACTGTGGCGGAGCCACATAGCTCCAAGGGTGCCAATTAACTCCTCTTTGTCATAAAATTATACTGTTTAAAATAGATCAAAAAATATTTTTTTTATGTATAATATACTATATATTGGATTCCCTTGATGAATTTGTAATACTTTTTAAAGTTTTCATACTCTTTAATAAAAATTCTGACTCTGCTATTATGAGTGAAAGGACTAACGACAATAAGGCTTAATTGTCAAATATATAAAGGACTTAACTAATGACAGTGTAAATAATGTTTACATATTGTGCATTTTTAATTGATTATAGTATGTTATTTTGTTAATTTTTATACTATGAAATCACGATTACTATATTGTTGTAGGTCACCTTGAATCTAATTGTTTACCCGAAAAACGGATAGAGTTGAATTTGTACGTAGTTCTAAGGATATGTGGTATAGCTTAATACAAATCGTAAGGATAAATAGAAATATCAAGTATGGATTGCAAAGAATGCAAAGTAAACAAGGTTGTAAAGAAGATGATTTTTAGGACTAAACAAGTTGAATCAATTTATGAAGCTTGAAAGAACAACTCTTCACTATAGGAGAATATAGTGCTTGAATTACAATGTAAGCAAAAACTTGGTCCTTACAGAAATGATAAACATCCTCTTTATAGTAAGGGGGATCTTATTTTAGATATAATTAAGAATACATAGTGGGAGACCCATGATAAATCAACTTTTCCATAATTCTTGCCAGGATTCTCTGCTCTAGTGGTATTGCAACGACTCTTGTCTATGAGCTCGATATTGACTCGAGTTTCGGTCTTGACTCGAGCTCTTGATCTTGACTTGAGCTCGATTCTGATTCGGATCCTTGAATTGATTCGGGGTCAATATTGGTCGGTCTATGAATCATAAGCTCGATAACTTTACTTTGCATCATAGTTCAACTTGGATTCGAATTTGATAATGATATCGAGCTCGACATTGATCGGTCCCTCGGGCTCGAAGCTTATTTGTACCATCTTCGGAACCCATCTCGAAGTCTTACTTTGATCCATTATGTTTCGACCTCGATCAATCGTACGAAGGCCGAAATCTATTTCGACCGTATACAGATA